CATAGACTGATGTGCAATATCTTATGATATGCAGCTGCCTTAATGTTCTAGGTAAATACAATGTACTTGTATAAGGGCATTAAAAAAATGAACTGGAACAGGCCTATCAGTCTTTGAGCTGCCTTACCATTCAATACAATCATGATTGATCCGAGATTCCTCACATCAGTTTTCTTGTCCTTTCCCTGTAAACCTGATTCACCTCCTGATCAAGAATTTACCTCAGCCTTAAATATACAAAAGGACTCTACCCCAACAGCTCTCTGTGGAAAAGAGTTCCAAAGGCTCATAACCCTCTTAAAAAAAATTCCTCCTCATTTCAGTCTTAAATTGGTGCCCCTTTATTCCAAGAAAATGTCCTTTGGTCCTAGACTCCTGCATGAGGGGAAACACCATCTCAGAATTCAACCTGTCAAACCCCTTAAGAATCCTATAAGTTTCAATGAGATCACCTCTCATTCTTCGAAATTTAAGGGAGTAGAGTCCCAACTGTTTTAACCTTTGCTGAGAAGACAATACTTCCATAGCAGGTATTATCCGAGTGAACCCTCTCTGAGCTGCCTCTAATGAAATGATATTGTTTCTTAAATTATGGAACCAAAACTGCTCACAGTACTGTAGACGTGGTCTCACCAGCACCTTAAATAACTGAAGTAAGACTTCCCTACTCTTATACTCCAACCTCCTCAAAATACGGTCCAGCATTCCATTAGCCTTCCTGATTACCTGCTGCAACCGCTTAATGCAGATTCTCACAGATACAGTTTCAACAAAGCGATGGATCTGTTGTCAGGTTAACTCTCCAGTATGGGTGCTCAGTGATGTCTTATGTCAACCAGACCCCTCTCACTGAACAAACTTCCTTTTCCAAGCAGAAATTCACTTCACAGCTTGGACCATGCACTATGTCACAGATAACTTACTGTCATCAACTTATAAAATATTTTGAAAAATTATTCAGGCACAGATCATCTACAACAAACTTGACTAGCATCAGAACTGTTCAGTAACTGAAAAATAGACCAAAAACCACAAAGCACTTAGATCATTCATTGAGGTAACAAAGAACTCTACCTGAGAATATATCAACATATATCTGAACTTCAAGTACCGACACAATATTTTGGGCGTATGCTACTTGTGTTTTTCACTCAATACCTTCAGGATTCATACTTCAACTGTGAAAAACCAGAATACAAGATTAGATACACCCAGAACCATATTGCACTGTTCAGTTCACAGTAGATGGTCAGTAGAGATTCTTTCATTCTCAGATGAATTGAACAGTATAATACGCCTGTAACAGCAAAACCAAGTGCCGTTGTTCATTCAGAAATGCCTGAAATAGGCACTTTGAAGATGATCTTTTAAGATACCATCCAAGATATTACTGAAGAAGACACCAAATAGAGACTGGTGTTGGCTAATCTGACTTCATTCTTCAAGAACAGTTTTAGCAAAACTTTTTATCCCCACAATTTTTGTTTTTCTCTCCTTGATTTATGCCTTGTAGACAATTGACAGGTTTTGAGAAGTTAAGAAGTGAGTAACTCGCTGCAGAATTCCTACCCTTTGATCTGGTCTTCCAGCCACTGTATTTAAATGGCTACAAAAACAAAGTTGCTGGA